GCTATACTACTTAAAGAGCACAGGAAGATATTAAAAATCGATGGTGCAAATAGAAGCTCAAATACTACTAAAGCGAAAGTGTCGAGAAGATACAGTATTGAAGATAAAGTGTGGAATCTATTAACAACCAAGTTGTGTTTTTTTTAAACGAATTAAATGATATGAATAAAGAAAAAATAATGGCAAAAATAAGTAATTGATACATTTGAAAATCTGGGACTAAGATGGATGACAAGTATAGGAAAGAGTATATGGATAAAAAGAATGAGATAAAAAATATAGAATTCGAAAGAAAGTAGTCATATAAACGTTCTGATAATGTTGGGAAGAAAAATTGTTTGGAGTGCTGTAATTGCAAGCGTAAACCTCGTGGACGTGATGCTCCTTGTCAAAACTTGCTTCCCGCGATTTCAATTTAGCCTGAAATCACTCTTTAGGAATCAGGTTAATATATGAATATAGAGACTTGAGTGGGTTCATACAAGAAAAGATATATTTTAACTCTCTGGCTCCACTTGCACCTTACTAGGTGCAGGTCCGGCCATGGATTTTATCTCCGCAGACCTGACGGTGGGAGATAAATTTAAGCGATTTTTATCTCTAACCAGACTCTCTGTTTGGACTGAGGTCTTTCGCATCAAAACGAGGGGAGCGTCCCCTTGCCGAGTACCAATGTTGCATGGAAGCAGGTCGCTTCGTGATAATCGGCGTTGACGTGCCTGCATTAGTTGCTGCTGTTGATGTTGATATTGCTGCTGCTGCTGCTGGCGCAGATTCCAACAAGCTCTCTTGGCAGCGTAGTGCGGATGTTGTTGACCATAGGCAGGAACAGAGGCCGCGGCAGCAGCCGCTGCAGCTACACCGTTTGAGTCTATACCACTGGGCAACACCGATAATGAAGAAGCAGAGGCAGTTGAAGTTACCGTGGAAGAAGCCGAGATGCAAGAAAAGGCTGGAAGACGAGTGGTTGAGGACTTGGAATATGAAATAGTTCCATCAAAGGGCCGAGAAAAAGAATCTACTTTGCATGCTGAGTCGGATTTCGTCATCTGATTGAATTTATAATGAAAGTAAGATAGCATAACAATTTGTATAAAAGTGAAAAAATAGCCAACTTAAAAAGGAATAGATAATTGATTACGGAAAAGGAAAATCTAAAATAATATAGAAAAAATAGGCCTCGAAGAATCCTTTAATAGATTCATGTTGGAATATCGTTTGAAGAGGCGAGTGGAAGAGATTCGTAAAATGGTTGCATCGGAGACTGGAGGGTTGCCTTGGAACTGTGATTGTAGATTTGAGAGAATTAGTCCGCGGTGCACCGCCATGTGACCCCGATAAATCCTTGCTGAGCTCTCCTCCATTATGTGACGGACATCGTCAGAGCAGGACACCAGGGTTAACGATAACTCACCAAAAACACTAGGGCAAAAATGGTGGTTGGCTTCAAACCTACTTCCTTCTTATATTTAAATTCGGTTCACTTATGTATCTCATGTTTTGGTTGGATGCCCTATACTTTGCCTCTATATTTGCTCATAAGTTAAGTTATGTGGCTGCAGATGACATGTGAAGTGACTACAGATGAAGCGTGAAATGGGTGCGATAGAAACCGAACAGCTGCATCCTCTCCTAAAATAGTAATGCATTTGATCCTGCAATGTTACCGCATGTGATTGCGTCCCATTGCACACGTGTTGTGTGAGTGCATTGCTCTTGAAATGAGTTTGATGTGAGTCAAAACCAAATTCCAGGCTAATCAAGCCTCCTCCTCTTGATCGGTCGTAGTTATCGTTCCCCCTTCTCTCTAATCATATCCAGTAGCCACAGCCAGTTTCCACTTAACTTTCTGCACTCAATCGCTCTATTCAGAGTGTTGGCTGTTTGTTGATTCCTATCGCCTCCCTAATTTTGCGCTTACTTGCATAGTCTCCGTATCCAGCAAGCGTTTGACATTAGACCAGTCTATCTAGTGTCCTGTGCGAGCCATGTGTTCGGCCAATTCCGATTTCTGGACCCACATACCTTTGCAGGCTGTTTTGTGTTCAGATAACCTCTTATGTATGGGCCTACAGGTCTCTCCCACATAGGTACTATCACATGAACACAAATCTTGTAACAGCCCGATCTGGAGAGATAGTCAGAGTACTCTCGAAAAGAAGGCAATACCGAGGACAGTGTTATTTTCTGTTTATAAATGGTCCTGATGTCCCACTTCCTCAGAAATTCGCCTATCCTCTTCGACAGATTACACGGTGGCAGCATAAGGATCCTGGTAGAATGGTCTATCTTTTTATAAAGCCGCAAATATGTATTTCCTTTCATTCTATTTGACAATGTTTTAAAATAGTTATCAACCAGCTCTCCTGAATAATCATTCTCAACCAAAATTCGCCTCTCTCCTCAGTTCCTTAAAAGAGATTTGACATCTGCCAGACTCAAGTTCCTTATTATCATAGACTTAATATCTCCTATTCTAACCTCCTAACTGTAGTATGAAAAGAAATTCAAAAGGAAATCTGCATCTGTGAGCTTCCTATACACATCTCGATTTAATCTGGTCCTCTCTTTGCTAGCTAGTACTTCAAGAATAGGTAAACCATCTTCCTTTTCTAACAAGATTGTGAATTTCGTCTTCAAATCGATCCTGTTCATCAAGGCAAGGAAATTATCCAAGTTTTATTTTCAATGTTGCAAAATAGCAAAGTAGTCGTCCATATAGCGAACTAAAAGTGTATCCTGAATTAAACGTTCCACAAATTGGGCCATCTAATTATTTGCTAAAATTGGTAACAAATACGATCCCATAGCTAAACACCGTGTTTTTTTCGTACAGTTTACCATTAAAGGTAAAATATGTACAGTACATCGCTAGGTTGGTCAGTATCATTATTGACACTTTACTTAATTCCGTGTTCATTAAAATCTCCGCGTGTTGGTGTAATGTGGTTTGCATAGCCTATATGGCATCAATTGCAGATCTATTAGTGTACATAGATTCAACATCAAAACTTACCAGCAAATCTATACTTTCTATCTCCTGCTCGTGGACTAAGTTAATCATAGGAATTCTTGACCGAAACCTTCCACGTCTCGA